ACACAAACATCTACATGGATTAACATAAAAAACATATTTTTGACTGTAAAAGACAAGTCACAAAAGACTTCATGATTGCACTTGTAGAAGGATCTCCCCCCCTCCCACAAAAAAAGGAAAAGAAAACAGGCACAACTAAACAATACAGACGGCTGGTGGTTCAAACCCACCAGCCACTCCTCGGAAGGAAGGTTGGGCAATCCTACTTCCGTAGTGACACTGCCTCAGAAACCCAAGGAGGGGTCGCTATGAGTCGGGGCCGACTCGACGGCACATAACAACAACAACATGTGCATAAAACCTTTTCCTGACTTTTTGTAATAGTTGTTGTTGTTATTATGTGCTGTCGAGTCGGCCCCGACTCATAGCAACCCCTCCTTGGGTTTCCAAGGCAGTATCACTACGGAAGCAGGATTGCCCAACCTTCCTTCCGAGGAGTGGTCTTATACAATATTTATCCTTTTTAATTTCATTCAGCATAATGTGCTCCAGGTTCATCGGCGTTATGAAGTGTGTTGTAGATTCATCATTACTCTTTAACAGTGCCTAGTATTCCATTATGTGTATGTATCATAGTTTATCCATTTATCTGTTAATGAGTATATACATTCTTTCCATCTTTTGCTACTGTGAATAATGCTGCAAAGAACTTATTCAAAAAATATTTAGATCGAGATTACATTAAACCTACAAGTATATGTGAGGTAAACAAACATTTTTACAATATTGAAGCTTCCAATACATGCACATTGTAAAGTGTTCCATTTAAGATCACCTTAAATGACTCTTGATATGGTTTAAATTTTCTTCGTGAAGATCTTGTACATCTTTTGTAAGATTTTTCTTAGATACATCAAGTTTTTTATGCTATTGTTGAAAAGATCTTTCTGAAAACCTTCATTTTGTTAGTTGCCAGTATACAGGGATACAATGGACTTTTGCACACTGATTGTGAATGAAGCAACCTTGCTAAACTCCAGTTGTCAGTGAGTTGTCTACATATACAATCATGGCAACATATCAAAGTAATTTCCTTCCTTTGGGAAAGAAAAACCTAGGAATTACATTGACTAAAACACATCAAAATCCAAAACAACTGCTATTTCAAAGTGATTTTTAGAGGTATACAAACACTATGAACACAGCAATAGCTGGGGATAGTGAAGCCATTCTACCATCTAGAAATTAAATAATCCAAGGCTTGGAAGTACCATCCTCTTTGTGAGATTTCTAGGTAACTAGTCCCTCCCAGGAATAGCTTCATCTCTGTATCCAAATAAATACACTAAGGAGCACTAACAGTAGTTTTTAATATTCATAAAAATCTAATTACTTTCTCAGGATACAAAAATAAGCCCTATCTATGGAAGTTATGATCAATCCTTCACAAACGACTTCTCTGAATTTGAAAAAAATGCTTTCCATTAAGCTTTCTGGTGGGCCACCAGCTCTTACAATCATATTCCTCATTATTACCCTTTCCCTTTGCTCACATCTTTTTCCATGTATCATAAAACACATAAATGTATTCATGAATGATTTCCACCACATTCATTCCACTGGATGAATGATTTCCACATTATTGGGTTGCAAGGCATATTACGACTGTGGGTGCTCTAGAAATAGCAACATTTTCTTAGGAGATACTTGCTGAATGCCCATGGGATACAAGAGAGTTATCTACACGAGGGCTACACATTGGACAGGATGCCAGAGAGCAGAACATAGAAGGAAGCCAGTTCTTCATAAAGTAGTGGATTGTTGTGGGGAGAAAGGAACTTGGTAGGTAAGATCCTTCTCTACCAAGAGAAGGCACTCTCACTTGTGGGGTCTGACAACGAGGAGAAACAGAGATGCCAGCTTATGTATGATATTCTTTGAGTTTTAAAGTGTATTTTCTATTGCTGAACACTGTCTGATATACAGGTAGCCTATAGATTATATCTCTTACCTCTGGATTTATGGGAAAACTCCAATCATACTTGCTTGCCCTTCCATGTTAGGTAAATTTGCTCTCACTTTGAAACAACTGAACCAAGCCCTATTCACAAAAAAAACATATCCTTTATCACGGTCACCTTCACTTGCTGCATATTCAGCATTTAAATTACTGAGAAGGCAAGTCTTTCCTGCATTAAATGAGGGTTAAATAAGAACCATATGCACCTGTTCCACCTGAACCACAAATTCTTAAAGACATAGGAAGGGATCTCAATTGGGGACTGCAAGTAAATAAATAGTCATTAAGAGCACTAACCATCAGAATCTGACAGATGCGTTTGAGATCTGATTGCCTACTACACCTGTGGAACACAGGGTAAATTATTTAAGCCTCAGTTTCCTTCTAACGTTGTTGTTAGGTGCCGTCAAGTTGTTTCCAACTCACAGCGACCCCATGCACAGCAGAATGAAACACTGCCTGATCCCGCGCCAGCTCCATGATCCCTGCTATACTTGAG